ATTATATAAATCTTCTACACTAGTAAGTAGCTCCTTTTTACCTTGATACCATTTTCTATATCTAGTTATTCTTTTGTTATATGCTTCTTCATTTGGAAAAAGAGTTATAGCAGTATATTTTATATACTCATCTTTATTTTCAGCATTATGCAAATTTTTTACATAGCCAGCATATTCACTAATAAGCTTACTATCTTTTCTATATCGAAGACGAAAGGCCTCTTTTATTATTTTAATTTGTGCTGATTCAATCATTTTCCATGTAATAGCTTCCTGCATCGTTAACTCTGAGCCCTGCTCATTTATTAAACTTGAACTATTGTCTGTCATACTTGGTTTATACTTTGTTTTATATAATATAAATTTATTCAATACGAGTTTTATTATTTAATAAAAAATATCGTTTCTTTTAACTGTCATTTCTAAATGAGTTTTATAGCTTACTCTTCTATTACTATAAACTAGTATTCGTCAAATATATCTTCTCTAATTTGAGATGCAATATCATCTTCACTTCGTGAGTCAACTTCTATTTTATTAATTTCAATTTTCGGATATTTGCTCACTAATTGATTTACTATTTTATCTGTTATTCGTTCACAATTTTGTATTTTTATAGTTTTTATACTTGTACATTTTTCTGGTATACTTAAGACAGTTTTTGGTGCTAATCGATTACTTCCATAGATAAATATATGATTTAGATTTTTGCACGTATCCAATGTCATCTTTAGTGAGCTATTGTTAAGAAATCCCCAACCACAATCCTTAAATGATATAGTTATTATATTTTGGCATATACTTACAATGTCTTCTAATTGAAATTCATTCATATTAAAATAATTATCTATTCTTTCGAATTCTATCTGTTTTATATATTTTATCGCATTCGGTAATGGTTTCTTTTTTATTAATTCGACAAAATTTCTAATATTATATTTATATAATGTAATTCTTCTCCATATTAAATATGTTGTGCATTCATTTCATCGTTTGTTAACATATAAAACTAGAAACAATAATTCATTATTACTACACTGCGAAGCAGAACACTTCGTGTCTAATCTTTCATTTTGTGTTTGTAAATGTTGAAATATTTTTATTATAATTTCATTCGGAAGATTTATATCAGATTTTTTTGATAGTTTTCCTTTTACTGTTTGTGAAGCAGGATACTCTGTATCTAATTTTGTATTCTGCTCTTTATCTTGTTGTATTTTCTCAAAATCTGGTAAAATATTTGTAATCAAATTTGGAATTTTTGGATATGATGGTTTCCAAGTAACTGATATACAATTTTTTACTACACAAACTCCTTTTTTCTCGAATTTTAGCTCACCCATTTCTATTCCCGTTTTAAGTTCTACTTTTCCAGCTACAATAAAGCCATCTGTATGTATACGTTTTACTTGATCTCCTAGTGGTTTCATGATTTCTGATATTCTTTTTCGTGCTGATGCTAATAAGAATGGTTTTATTCGAGGGTGTATACCATAATTTTGTCCATTTCTTTGCTCACATAGGACACCCCATAATGAAACTAATAATGCTTTACTTACTTTTCCAGCTATTCCTCCTTCTTTCTTAATGTTATATAATATAATACCCCATTTACCAAACATGTCTTTTCCTGTTATCCGTATATTTCTTTCGTAAATAAGCGCATTTGGTGTTATATTCATTAATGTTACTTTCATTCCATTTTTTCGTGCGCATTCTAAATCATAATGTGTGTAAATCCCATGTGGATTATAGCGCAAATATCTCGTGCATTGAAGACTTTTCTTTGATGGATTTCCTTCTATTGTTGCTTTATAAATTCCATAAGGAAATTTACTCCATTTTTCCGTAAAAGATGAGTTTATAGTATGAAACTTACTAGGTGCAATTGGCCATGATGCTTCTTTCTTTAACATTTCATATATATACATCGAATTTACATCATATTGAATAGCTTCTCCTTCATATTTTTCTGCAAATACTAAAGCACCAGTTGTTGCTAAATTTAACCATGCATTTTCTTTCTCATCGATTTTTTCACTTCTGTTTGGTACTAAAGTTGTTTCTCGAAAAAGTTTTAAACTTGTCAAAGTATAACTTCCAGATTTCCGCATATCGACCTGTCTATTTGTTTTTTCTGCTATAGCTTCTGATTCTTCGTTAATTCTTTTATATGCTTCTATAGTTGTTTCTTTTAAATCTGTTTTAATAAAATAGTACTTATTAGATAATGTACGGAAATCTTCTTTAACTCCATACCATTTTCCTTTTCCA